GTAGAAGAAAGGTCATCCTCACAGCTAACCTCACAGCTAATGGTGAAAAACTGAGTATTTCCCTCCTCTACCTGGGGACAAGTCAATGGTATCTACTGTCACTATTTCTATTTAACATTGTATTTGAAGGCCTTGCCAGTATGGGAAGGAAAGAGGGAAAAAGCATACAGATAAGAAAGAGAAAAAGGCCTTATTTGCAGACAACATAATTGGCTACATAGAAATATCAAAAAATTGACAAGGAATCTCCTAGAACTAGTAAGTAAAATTACAAGGTCAAGAAAAATCAATCATAGTTTTGTACTAGCAAGTAATAATTAAAAACTAAAATTTAAAAATAGCATTATAATAGATCCAAAAAACTGAAATAATGAGGTATAAATTTACCAAAACATGTAAAAGAACTGCTGAAAACTATACCACTATTAAAGAAATCAAAGAAGACTGAAATAATTAAAAGACATACCACCTTTATCACATATCAACATATTAAAGGTGCAAATTCTTCCCATTTGATTTATAGATTAATGAATCCTAATCAAACCATCAGCCCCCAGGATATTTTTTGTAAATATAGACAAACTTACTCTAAAATCAAAAGCAAAGGAACTAAAATAGCCTAACAATTTTGAACAAGAATAAAACTGAAAGAATCATGCTAATTTTAAAACTTACTCTAAAGCTACAGTAACTAAGACAGTATGATATCAGGGAAGGGAGAGACACATAAATCAATGGAATAAAGTCAAAATCCACACAAATGTGGCCACCTGACTGTTGACAAAAATGTAAAGGCAATTTAGTCCTTCCTTATAGGAAGGACAGTCTTTCATCAAAAACACTGTTGTAATAACTGCACATACATAGGCAAAAATATATGAACCTCAACCTAAACCTTACACCCTACACAAAAATTAATTCACAATGGATCATAGATCCAAATATAAAACACTATACTATAAAACTTTTTAAACTTATAGGATAAAATTGTTATGACATGGGTTAGGCAAAAGAATTTTAGACATGATACTAAAGGCATAATCTATAAAAGAAAAAAGTTATAAATCTGACTTCGAATAAAAAAAGTTTGTTTTGTAAAAGACAATGTCAAGAGCTGCAAACAGGGAGAAAATATTTACAAATGATCTATCTGACAGAGAATTTGTATAAGAATATGTAAAGAATTCTCAAAACTCAACAGTAATAAAACATAGGCCCTAATTTAAAAATGAGCAAAAGATTTGAACAAAGAATTCACCAAAGAGAATAGATGGAAGGCAACTGACTACATGAAAGGATGTTCAATATTTTTAGCCATCAAGGAAATCCAAATTAAACAGCTAAAAAAATTGTTTAAAGTGGTACCACCACATGCTGGAGAAGATGCAGAGCAACTACAAATTTCATACATTGCTAGTCTGATGCAAACTGGGACAACCATTCTAAAAAACAGTTTGGCAGTTTCTTACAAAGTTAAATATACACTTACCATATGACCTGGCAATCCCACTCCTTGATATTTATACTAGAGAAATGAAAACTTGCGTTCGCAGAAAAACGTGCACGTACATGTTTTAACAGTTCTATTCATAATTGCCACAAACTGGAAATAATCCAAATGTCTTTCAACAGCTGACTAGATAAACACATTGTAGTACAGTTTATCAATGGGATACTATTGAGCAATAAAATAAATAAATTGTTGACACATGCAACAGCCTGGATGAATTTCAGAAGCTTTATGCTGAGTGAAAGAAGTCAGTTTCAAAAGGTTATATATGTCTGATTCCATTTACCCATATTTTTTGGACCCTAAGGTGCACCTAGGTTTTAGAGGAGGAAAATAGGAAAAAAAATTTTTAAGCAAAGAATATGGTAAAATATTGAATAACATAAATAATATAATATTTCACCAATGTAAATGTAAACAGAACTCAACAGCAGCATTAACAGCCATTATTCCTCCCAAAATGGGGGTAGAGTGGAAGGAGTGCATCTTATAGTCCAAAAAATACAGTATAAGGTGTCAGTGGCTGTCAGAGGCTAAGACAGGGCGGTCAGGGACTGGGGACTGACACCAAGGGACTGCAGGAGACGGTACTGGAGGGGGTGACGGTACTGTAAAGCCTGGTTGTGGTGGTGGTTACACAGATCAATACTTGAGTTAAAATTTAGAGAGCTATTTGCTCCCTCCAAAGTCAACTTTACTGTATGTTAACTAAAAAGTTTTAAGCTTTTAAAAGTATATAACATAAACTATCTTAGAACTTTGTAATTCTTTATAAATTAAGGCTCAAAAGTGAAATGAGAGCATGAAGACAGCCAACAGACTTAGATTTTTAAAAATCACCTAAGAAGATATGTCACAGATATAATAAGTTCTAAACTCAGAAACTGTATCTTTCGACCAATCACAGAGGCCATGAATACCTAATATCAACAAATATTTAATATCACTATATGAAAATTAAACAGATAATATAAAACAAAACAAATGTACATCAAATAAAAAAGGTCTAAATGAAGATTCTACATTATTACTATTATTTGGTCCTTCGAACAGAAATGACATTATTATCCATGATCACTATGATATATGCCTTGTTTTGTCTTTTTTAAAAATGTATTTCTTTTTTTTCCACGTTTTATTGTTCGAGTATAGTTGTCTCCATTTCCCCTCCGCTGCTCCTCCCAACCCCACCCATCCCCACTTCCAATCCTTGATCCTAACCCCCTCTGGCACTGTCCATGTGTCCTTTATACATGTTCCTTGTTTTTTCTATAGTAGTTACAGATTTACACAGTTTATCCGTATTTTCTCATCTGATCCTCCATGGCACAAAACGCACCCTAAAAACACTGGCGGTATGGATAAATAAAATGTGATATATGGGGTGATCGATTTTAAGTTACATAAATGTCTAATCTCTATATCATACACCTACAACAAATATAATATTGTATTCAACTGTAACTGAAAAGTAAAAAGTATTAAAAAAATTATATATAAACATGGATACATAGTTGTATAGAGGAATATTATGCAGCCAAAAAAAAGGGGAAGCCCTGCCACTTACAACAACATGGATGAACCTGGAGGACATTAGGCTAGGTGAAATAATGCAAGACAAGTGCTCTAGGACCTCACCTCATATGCAGAATCTGTAACAGTCCAATTCACAGAAGCAGGGAGTAGAATGGTGGTTGCCAGAAGTTGGGAGTGGGTGAGGGAGGATAGGGAGATACTGGTCAAAGGGTATAAACTTTTACTTATAAGATGAACAATTTCTGAGGATCTAATATATGGCATTAACTACAGTTAATATTACTATCCTGTGTACTTGAAATTTGCTACAAGCAGATCTTGAATGTTCTCACCAAAACAAGGCAATGAGGTGATGGCCATGTAAATTAGCTTGACTGTGGTAGTCATTTCACAATGTTTGTATGTATCAAATCACCACACTGTCCACCTTAAGTGTATATAATTTTTATTGCTCAATTATACTTCAATAAAGCTGGGAGGAAATGCTGACTGGGTCCAAGTACAAAGACTGCTTATAATTGCACTACTTTGTAAGCCATCATAAGAAAGCATGAAATACTTCTTTTTTTTAAACCTCAAGATATAAACCAGTTCACCAAAAACACAAAGAACTGTAATTTGAGATAGCTACTCTCTATAACCATATATATTTTTGGATGGCTGCCATAAAACTTAGTAGATCTCAGATTGTGGGTTTTAAGAAACAAAACACAATCAGATGACCAAAGCCATTTATTTAAGTAAGTAACCAACCTCATCATTCCTAAATGTGTCCTAGTTTTTAAAGCATTAAATGTAAGGTATCTGTGGGAACACTCAATTCCTTTCAAATGACAACAGCACTTTCACAACTTTTCAATCTTTAATCTTCTGAGGATGTGCTTCAAGTAGCAAATCCAGCTCTTTCTAGAGCCGAAAGTATGTTAATATGTAAAGTTTGGGGCAATTAAAAAATTGACAACAAAAATTTACCTACTCCTAAACAAGTTAATTACTCAGTGCTTCAATATTCCAGGTCCTACGGGTCATACAAAAGAGATAAAATATTGTCTAGGTCCTTAAGAACTTAGCTGAGGAGACAATACAGACCCACGAGATAGACACCAGACTGTAGTAAGAAAAGTATTATGAAGAACAATTAGAGTAACATCTAAACAGATGCAAAAACATTCTTTAACCAGTTTCCCATATATGTCAAACGGTAACTGAGAAGAGAAAATAATTGTACACAATGTACAGAGGCACAGGGATACAGTGAGCACAGAACACTAGAGTCGAGACCTGCCTCGGCTCTGCCATTAAAAACTCCTGGGCAAGTCCCACCTGCTCCACAGTGCACAGTTAGTAGGCATGGTACCCGACACGGAAAGGACATTTGGTTCATTCACTGCTGATCTGGATTTGGCTAAACAAGGAAGGAGGGGGCAGGCAGGGGCTCCTTCTAGAAAGGACTCACTCAGGATGTCTGCAACTCAGGACTATGGCAAGCTTGCTGCTTGCATTTGCCACCTCCTTCTCACAACCATGTGAAAGAAAGGACTCTGACACCCAAAAGAAGGCGCTCTCCCTACCTCCTCCAGAGCACAGACTCTTCTATCAAGGGCCTCTAGGTCCCGGGCCCAGCTGCACTGGCACCTCCCAGTCCCAGGGAACCCCTCCCCACCCCCAACACACACACACTATGATGCATCAGCTGTCTGGCTTAATTTCAGTCTGGTTAGCTTATCTGAAAGGGAAATGGATCAGGTGCTTTACAACATCACGATCTATGAATTTAAAAATTAGAAGTATTAACCATAGAACACAAGCCTCATTAAGTCGTCAGCTATGAGTAAAACAGCTTATTAAATTTGTTATCTGGACTTTGTTTGTTCTGCAAGAAATATCGAACTGTTTTAGAAATGCCGAATAGGAAAAGCAAACACTACTGAATTCTTCAAAAGAACACTTTTACCTTAGAGTGAGTTCCTGAAGAGCGTCAGGTCCATATGCTTAAGAAGCCCAGGGCAGAGACAGCAAATATACTATTTTATTAAAAAACTAAAGACTACGACTTCCATTCTTTCTTTAACATAAGGACATCCACATCTGCAAGACGGTGGGCAGTAACAGTGGCTGAGAAACCAGGACCAAAATGTCTTTAAAAAACTGCTCTGGAAAAAAAGAAAAAAAAAGCAATATTAAATATCTTCAAGTGTATGAAGAAGTACCTAATAGAAACCCACACTTTACAACTATGAAACACAGGACAGCGTCTCGGTTCGGAAAATGTTCAGAAGCTACATTACACGTACAGTGTAAGAACACATGCCTCTCTTTAAATCTACACCGATAAAGCTCAGGTTAGAATATCTGCGAAAATGGAAAAGAGGCATGGTTAAAACGAGAAAAACTAAAATAACTTAAATTCATCTTCCCTTATCCTCACCACTGCTATTCATTTTATCAGAATTTAAAAAATTAAAGTAGTGTTATTTTGGTGACTATGAGCACTATACATGTGTTTTGTAGAAAATGTAAAAAATATGAAATAATATATAGGGCAGCACAAAAGTAGGTTTACAGTTGTTTATAGTTGTGAGTATGCAAAGAGTTTATTCTTGTATTACTATTCATAATTATTGTATTGTTTTCCATATGAACAACTGTAAATCTACTTTTGCACCACCTTGTATGAGATGACTGAAAAATCTAATTACTCAAAGTTAGCATATTTTATTTTCTATCCTATCTTTTTAATAAATATTTCCCTTTTAAGAAACTCAAAAGTCTCCTTTTCAGTTTATTGTATTATAAACATTTTATTATACCATATACTCTTAAGATCCTAAAGCTCATGATTTTTAACAACTGCAAATTATTTTTATCAACAGAATACTAAACAAAACATTTTAAGAACAAAAGTTTTAATGGCTTTGTAGTGGTTATGACAATAACATAATCATTTAGGTGGCTTCCAATTTTTTAACGTTATAAATAGCATTGTTATATATAAGTAACACATACACATATAAACTTGTGTATGTCTCTTATTTCCTTTTAATAACCAAAAAATAGAATTTTGGACAAAGGGTATGAACATTCTTAGAGGTTCTGAATATTGCCAAACTGCCATTGTAGTGGAATGTTTGCGTCCCTCTAAAATTCGTATGTTGAAGTCCAATCCCCAGTGTGCCGGTATGTGGAGGTGGGCGAGAGTGGGGCTCTCATAAATGGGATTGGTGCCCTTGCAAGAGGAGGCTAGAGAGCTGGCCAGCTCTCTTTCCACCAGGTGAGAATACAGGGAGTCTGCAGTCTACCACCCTGAAGGGGGTCCTCAGCAGAACCCAGCCATGCTGGCACCCTGATCTCAGATCTGTGAGATCGAGAACTGTTGAGAAATAAAGTCTGTTGTCTATAAGCCACCTGTTGGTTATAATACCATAAATTTATGGTAATCTGTAATAGCAGTCAGAGCTAAGATATTATTTAGAATGTTGTACCAATTTAAGCTCCCACCAACAGCAAATATTTGTGAACACTTGATTCTTTTTTATATGAGAGACCTATTGAAGCATGTAATCTGTAACATAATGGTTCTAGCTTTATAAGCTTTTTCCTTAATCTTATTTGATAAGCTTAGAGGAAAATCTTTTAAGAAGTAATATCTCTTGAAGTAAATAAATATTTATCTGTGGTTGAGCAATTTTTCCAGTGTCACTTTTACTTAAATTTAAATGCCTGGAACTAAAAATAGTAATTATTTGCATAAATCCATTTTAAAAGTAAAATTCTGTGTATATATTTGTAATGAAAGATGTCTGAAATGATGACGATAACCATGGTAAATTTCATGTTTTGGAATTACTTGTACTGAACAATATATGTACTGAATTTTCTTTCTTTTTTCCAAGTTTTCTTCTTTGAATTTCTCTGTATGGCTTGAAAACCAAAATATTAGTTAGTATTATATTTTTTAATGAAACCATACTCTAAAAAGTTTTAAAATAATCATTCAAATAAAATTCTACATTTCTGTTTCCAGTTATGATGGAGTAACTGATACTGGGCTAGAGCTTTCACTGTGAATGACCACGAAACTGGGCAATATACATAAAACACTATTTTCCAGTGTTGGACGACCGGACACAGGATAGTAATTTCTGAGACGAAGAAAACAAATACTCATTAATGCCTGGCTTTCTGCTTGTGCGGCAGGGAAGGGAAATCCCAAAGAGCAGACAGCTCACTTAATTGCAAAAACAGAGCTCAAGGTTTGAGGCTACAAAGCACCTATAAGTTAAGGGATAGAATATAGTTAGGGAACTATGGAGAAAAATGGTTTCAGAAATTTGTAAAGAGATCTCCTAATTCTTTGCCTGGAGATTAAGCTGGATATGCATGAAGCAAGGCTCAATGAGACCAGTCAAACAATAAATGCTGGGGAAAGAACACCTATGAAATGTAAGCTGAACTAACTAACTATCTGAGCTTGCAAAGGTCTGGGAGTCATTCAAATTCCTGGCAGCTAGAGTGGAGAGACCTCACTAATATTACATATAGTCAATAGAAACCCCAGAAAGGTCATGCCTCTGTATTAAGGCCAAGCTAGCCCTGGAATAAAATAAAACTGCTAAAAACCAAAAATAAAGAGATGGAAAAACAGATCTTTAATGCAGCCAGAGGACGGCAAGGAGGTACAATTTCATCACCTGAGCAATGGTAAGAATGGCCACTATTCTCATCAGAAGCAGTTTGGGGGGGGGGGGGGGGAACTGTAGCTGAACAAAAATAAACAAGCAAGCAAATAAATAAATAAATAAGTAACTTTAAGCCAGAAGATACTGAAATGATTTTAAAGTACCACAAGAAAAAAAAAAGCTTTCAACTTAAAATTCAATATCTCGAATAAATAGCCTGCGAAAATAAAGGCAAAAGGGAGTAACAACATTCGGAATTGTCCTTTGACATAAATAAGTAGAAAACTAGACAAATATGAAAGCATTATTTTCAGACACTGGATGACTGGCAGTGTGGAAACATAACCCCTGAGAGAAAGGAAACGAATGAGGTGACCGCCAAGACAGTTTGGAACTACAACACAGGGAGGTGGAATCCAAACACAGCCACTGAATTAAGGAGACAGAATTTAGAGTCTGTGGCATCTGGACAGCTAGAATTTTCAGGACATATTACTACGAAGGAGAAACTAAACAGAAATGCTCCAAAAATCTGCAAAAGGGGCCTCCTTGAATGTCTAGCTACATATCAATCTGCATGTATGGTGTGTAAATCTAAAAGGCTGGACAGAGAAAAACTGCCAAGAAAATAACAAATACTGGGGATCTCTAAGTCAAACAATGCCAAGAATTCACACTACCAGGACCACTTAGTTCCCACCAGCCAGGATGAATAAATGGGGCAATCAAGGAAGACACAGAAGGAGCACACCTCAGTAGTAGGCGGAAACCAGCCCCTACATTGTAAGCTATTCTAGAACCACCACAAACAAACAAACAAAAAAAACCCTTGAAAACAAAAATCAAAAGATCAAGCTAATCCACAAATAAATTAACTGCCTGCCAAAACAAAACTTAATATTCAAGAAAGAAAACAATCAGGAACTCAACATAATAACTCCATAAAAAATTACCACACATAATAAAAAATAGGAAGTGGTACCCTATAATCAAAATCCAGAACTGGCAGGGATAAAGTCCTTTAATATAAGGACTTTAAAATAGCTATTAGAAAAGAATTTAAAGTCTTGAAGGGAAAAATGAATATAATAACAATAAAAAAAATCTCAACAGAGAAGTGAAAATTATTTTTAAAAACATCAATGGTGATTGTAGAACTAAAAAAAAAAAAGACTATCTGATATATTTTTTAAAAAGCCTTACTAGATGGGCCTAACAGCATTATTAGACAAAGGAAATATTTTAAAATCAGTGAACTTGAAGATAGGGAAACAGAAACTTTTAAAAATGAAGGAAATTGAAAAAAAGAGAGAAAACTAGACAGAGCTTCAGTGATCTGTGAGTTAATATTAAGTGGTCAAACATGTAACATTATGAGAAGAAAGAAAATACTTGGGAATTCAAAAACTTTAAGATAGATAACTAAAAGTTTTACAAGTATGATAGATCTGAAGAAAATGCACAGATCCAAGGAGCTCAATAAACCCCAAGGATACACAGAAACAAAACCACACCAAGAGGCATCATCAAGTTGCTGAAAACAAGTGGTAGAAAAATCTTAAAAGCAGCTCAAAGGAACCAGCACTGATTACACACAGGGAAACATGTAAGAATCCTGACAGGGTTTTGGTCAGAAACCATGCAAGTAAGATAGTGGGATAATACTGTTAAGGTGCTAAAGTGGGAGGAATCCCTGAATTCTATGTGCACTAATAATAACTTCCAAAACAGAAGACAAAAGGGGGGGTGGGGAATGTTTCACTATAAGAAACATAAAAGGAAGTTTTTTCCAGTAAAAGATACGTAACACCACACACAAGCTTGGATCTACACAGAGAAATGAAGGTCTGAAAAAGATGATTAAAATAAAGATAAATATTAATTTTTTTATTTTGAATTGCTCTACAAGGTAACTGCCTAAGAAAAGCAGAAAGAACAGCAATATGGTTAAAGCATAATAAAGTCAAAATGTACAACAAAGCACAAAAGATGGGAGGAATTGGGAAGTACACTATTATGTAAGATTCTTATATCACACATGAAGTAACGTAATTTTGAGGACAGACTGTTATTTATTAATTAATTATAGGGGCCAGCACTAAAAATGTTGATATGTTATAAAACCAATATAAAAAATAAAAATGGAATAATAAAAAATAACCCATTTTCTCAAAAAAGTTTGTTTCTTACTCAATAAAATAGTCATATCAAGTAAAAAAATTAAAAAACCCATCTAAAAGCAGATAGAAAACAAAGGAAAAAGAACAGTAAGAAAGATGTGGTACATTTATCCAATGGAATACTATGCAGCTATAAAAAAGAAGGAACGCTTAACCTTTGCAACAGCCTGGAGATTATTATTATAAAGAAGTGAAATAAACCAGTCAGAGAAGACAAATACTATATGATCTCACTCATATGTGAAATCTAATGAAAAAAATAAACCAATGAACAAAATAAAACCAGAGGAATGG